TTTTTTTTTATAACTATGAAAAAGTTTCACACATCATTAATGATTTTCTCTGTCGTGCGAGAAATTAAAAATTCACTTTAGATTATTATTCTGACATAGAGGGTATACACTATTCTTTTTCAATCATAAAATCTGATCCATTTTTATGATCTCAAACGTGTAAGTAATTAATCAAATGCATCTACTGTATATATACATATATATATATATGTATGATTGAAAAATGAAACTTTTAAATATGCATAGAATAATAGTTTAATCCGAAGAAGTTTTTTTATGCAAATATCTTGTAATAGTAACTGTCAGACTGCTGTTTTTCTTTTTCACTTGAAAATGAAAAGAAAAATAAAGACTTTGACATGCAAATTATTCTTTCTCTTTTTTTGCTGCAGACAAGAAAAAGAAGAAGTTAATTATCATATTTAATTCTCTTGTTAGTTATTATGTCATAAAATTCAGTCGATAGAATCAAGATCAAACAATGATATGTATATATATATACAAAGTGATGTCTATAGACTTGACAGAGATCAATTTTCAAGTGGAATTATGGTAAAACAAGTGTCAACTTCAATCATAAGATCAAGTCAAGAAAGATATTTAATATCCGATTTAGTGTCGTTTTCTTTTAAACAGAAGTTCGAACTTTGATTTTATATATATATATATATACATCGATAAAATGCAAAAAAAATCATTTTTACTACGAGAAGTTATTTCAGAAAAAAATTTTATTCTGACAATATATTTATTAGAAATTCTCTATGATGAATAAAAAATTTCACTAGTTACACATTTATTCTCGTTATTAAGCATTAATATATTCGTATCTATTCTATGAATATTTCAATCGATCCGATTAATTCGAAACAGTATTTCTATTAGACTGCAGCTACTTCTCATTACATTCAACGTTGTGTCTATGAAAATTTGAAGTTGCTGCCTGCTAAATTTTAGATGACATTTTTTGTTTTTTTTCAGGTGTTTGTTATCAGATAGATTGTATCTTACCTACTTCTGAGAAATATCAATAGCTATATGAAATGAAGATTGCATTGAAAAAAATGACTTTTTAATAATTCAGATGTGATATTATTATTAAATACCTTCCCTACAATGGATGATATGCTGGAAGTAATAGAAGATTGGTCTTAATTAATGTTTCGAAAAAATGAAAACTTTAAAAATAGTATATTTATATCAAAGGATTTTGTAATGAAAAATCTCTTTGGTTTTATTGCAAGAAAGGATTTGCTGATTTTCTTCAATAGGAAATATTAAATCATAACAACAAAACTTAAATAACACATAATAATCTTCAATATACTTTTATACTAATAATAATATCAAAATACGTATCCTCATTATGTACAGCATAATCTCTTTATCAAACGACGTTTTCTATGTATCTGAATCCAGTAAAAATCATCTCCGAGGGAAGAACTAATTTTCGAAATTCGACTTGAAACTTTGCATAGAGATAAACTTTATTGAGAATAGTTTCAGATCCTATCACTATTTCTATCCTAAGATACAACTATCTACCAACGACAAAACGACTGCAAATCGTATTTTTGATAGATATTTTCATTAATAGTAAACCACGAAAAATATAAGTTTTTCAGAAAATTTTTTCGTCCAGAGGGCTTTGTAGAGCTCGTTTCGCTGACCATTTTGGTAAAAAAAAGATTCAAGTTTACCCAATAAATAAAGGAGCTTCGATCGAAATACTAAAAAAAATATCAACTACGACTCAGCAGCGATCACTACCAGTCGAACGTTTTCAATATTTCGATCGAAGCTCACTTATTTATTGGGTAAACTTGAATATTTTTTTTACCAAAATGATCAGCGAAACGAGCTCTACAAAGCCCTCTGGACGAAAAAATTTTCTGAAAAACTTATATTTTTCGTGGTTTACTATTAATGAAAATATCTATCAAAAATACGATTTGCAGTCGTTTTGTCGTTGGTAGTATGATAACAGAATTCGATAGATTTTATGTTAGAATATCAGCAGATCAAAACACCTGCTCGTTAAAATCTGTCTCTATGAAATAGCAATTTTTTGTCTTACGTAGGATATTCATAGCTCATTTGCATCTACATAATCTCGGCTTAAAAGCGATTTATCATTTGTAGAATTTCCTTCGTTCGTCAAACTACAAAGTATCTACACTAGGAAGTTTTACTGTATATCTATTTATTCAATAGATTATTATGAAGAAATAAATTATTAATAAATAATACATTTCTTACTTGTTCATCATCAGAAATTTGTTCATCATTTTCAAATAGAGTTGAATTTTGTTCTTTAGAAAAAATATTTATTGATTCATCATCTTCAATTTCACCATCAGATTCAATTTGTTGTTCTTGTGATAATATATTTAATTTTGATGATGATGATATTTGATTATTTCTATAGAAAAAATGACACAAAATAAAATAAAATATTTAATAAAATTTTCTTTTACTGATGAGAATTCAAATGTAATTGATAATCAAATGATGATAATGAATAATATCGACATATATCACATAAAAATACTTGATCATGTCCATGTTCAAATTTCATATGAGTTTTAAATTCATTTATTATCGATGATGAAAAATCACATTCATCACATTGACGAACAAGTCGAGAACGAGGTGCTAATTGTTTACGTCTGAAAAAAAAAACTTCCAAAATAATCTCTAAGAATTCACTAAGATCAATAATAGTATCTCTCTTTAAGCTTATTAGAATTTATATAGAATATTACAGTTAAAACTTAAGATTAGCGACATCTATAGTTATTTCAAATAATATGAAAATTAAAATTGAATAAAAATAAATAAAACAGAATATCTTCATAAATATAATACGGATAAGCTGTCTATAATAATAATTATAGTTTGACAATGAATGTATACTAATATCAATTATGTATAATTGAATTCGGAAAAACAAAATTATATTTAACAAATCCGATTCTTTACTTTCATTTCACAATAATAATGAAAAAGATTGAAATTCATAAGATTGCTATATCTCACGAGAAAACTTCTTCAAGTGTTGTCAACTAACTTTTCAATCGAGACGATATTCATTTAATAAGTAATAGAAAAGTCTAGAATGGTTTTGGTTTTCCGAACGTTCGTTCTCGAAATATCGAAATTTTACTGGACTTTTCAATAAAATGCCATAGTCATGTAGAAAATCGAGTTTTGCTTTTTACACATGATATCATTTCCAATAGATACTAGAAAAGTTATAACTTGCCAAATAAACTAATCTTCGTACAATGTTTGAAGTCGATTTTTCATATGACCACAGCTTTCTATTGAAAAACCCAGTAGAATCTCGATATTTTAAGAGCTAAGACCAGAAAAATCAAATCACTTTAGACTTTTCTATTACTCATCAAATGAATATCATCTTAGTCGAAAAGTGATTTGATACTTGGAAAAGTTTCCTTATTAACCACAAAAGGTCGTACAGAACTCGTAACGATGTAGGGTATTACACTTGTTCTATTGTTTCATGTGGTTTGAACTTTGTGGTTTTGATTTTCTGTTCATTATTACTTTAAAAATTTGTATATTTTACTAAACTTCAGTATTCTTAACTAAAACATAAATCAATCTAAATTACCTGCTACTTCTACCAGTATTTTCTCCAAGTGTTGATTTTTGTGTATGATTTTTAGCGTTATTATTATTTGAAATTGACTTGTCTGATTGAGCATCACAATCACTGAAATAAACAAAACACATTTTAATAGCACTTTTCTACAATATATATATATATATATATATTATCATTTAGTGATATCCTATCTTATTGAGGTAATCATTAAAATGAAATAGAAGTATCAAAAAAAAGGTGTTGTTGAATTTTTTATAAGATTTTTATGTTTATTTAACATACACTTAGAAAAAAAAAACAAAAACAATGACTAATTCATTAAAATGAAGAAATAAAATTTTTATTTTAAGACAAAATTTAAATCTGATAAAAAATTAAAATGAATGATTTCAATCTTTTCACATCAACAGTCATTAACCCAACGGCGCGGCATAGACACCAATGAAACAGACATATTCACATATTGAAAGAAAGAGAGGTCGATTGAATCAAATGATAATTCATATGGTCAGACATCGACCAGGCATGACATTAGACTTTACTTTTCTTTTTTTTTCTCCCATTGCATCGATTGACCACTACTTTATAGTAGAGCGTAAAGATTTCTTGTTCTTTTCTCTCCAAATATGCATACATATATATATATATATATATATGCACGATGCGATTAGAGGGGCGTCACTGCGACAGGTAGAGAGAGAGACACGATCGTTCACTTTAGCTCGTTGATTGAAGATGGTGTATAAGAGAAAAGAGAGAAAGAGACATTCTTTATCTAGTACCGATATCAACAAAAAATGCCCCCGAAAGGCATTATTATACAGTTCGACACGCATCGGTAATTTAACAGAGAAAGAGAGAAGAATACACACACACACACACACATATAAAAAATGAATGAAAAATGAAATGTAAAGATTCATATAGGTGGATTAACATTATGCCAAGACTTTTAATCTTTGTAAATATAAAATACAAATAGTCGATTTTGTAATGTAAACAAGAGAAAAAAATATTCGGATATCCGTTTGTTTTGTTTTTTTTTTTTTCTTCTGTGAATACAGTAAACATTCATTACCTGATATCATCAGTATTTGTTAAAAAATAATCCATTGTATTATTTGGATTTTTATCAAATATATTAAAATGGTGATGTTGTTGTTGCCTTCTAAAACAAAAAAATAACCAATGGCATCAACTATAATAAATATAACCAATCGATTAATAGGCGAATATATATATATGTATATATATATAAAGAATAAAAAAAAAAAAGAAATAAAACGAAAGACCGATAATCGTATTGTCGGTAATCCCATTTGGATATGGATGAATAATTTTAATTCATACCTTTTTTATCAGGTTTTCTTTCTGCAAGTAATAATCAGTCTATTTTTGTTTATTGTTCTTACTGATTCATCACGAAAAAAAAAGAAAAATAGAACGGATCATCATCAGCACATTATTATTATTGCGTTCTAAGAAAAAAAAAAAAAAAAATAACTCGCGCATTACCTTACCTGTCGAAGGAAGAAGCGGAGATAGCATCAGTAGCTAGCATCATCGTTTTTTGCTATCTTATATGAATAGACAACAACAACAACAAACGATAAATGACGAGTAAAAGAGAATATTACTTTCTCTTTCGATCTATCGAATGCAAATCAGAAGAACGAGAAAGAAAAAAAATCCATTTTGATGAGAAAGAGAAATCTGCACTGCTGTTCTATATATAAATATATATATGTGTGCGTTCACCGATAGATAATTATGAGAACAAGGAGTAAACGAGTATAGTGGACATTCATTTCGTTTGTTCGTTCTCTGTCTCTTTCTCGGTAGTGAACTATACTATACTGCAATATCTCATCTTTATACTTCGATGTGCTCAGACAGACAGACAGTCGGTGATGATAATGGTAGCGTCAAGAGAAAGAGAGAGAGAGAGAGGGAGAGAGAGAGAGTGGGAGGTACTGAGACAAAGTTCTACCAATCACTAACATCATTGCACGTCACGGATGAACGCTTTTTTTTCTAACAAACTGCCAGTAACATAACACACTATGCTTATATATTTCTGGTTCTCTCTCTCCTCTTCTCTACTACTGTATTTACCTGTCCGACTGCAAAAAACATCGATTCGTCACGAATTATGATGACACTCCATCCATTATTATTCTTCCTCTCTTTTCCTATACACATCGATGATGCTTCAGGTCGATCACGACAGAAACGAGAGAAAAAGATAAATGTATATATGTGTGTATGTATATATATATGTGCATGTAACGGTGGGATTGGTGCATGTGGAATTGAAAATAAGCACTTTCTATTCTCTCCAATAGAATGTATATGTATATATATATGTGATGACAACTATGAATATAGCCTAAGGGTTTATATCTATGAAATAGTCATTCATTTTTAAGAGATACATCCACATTGCACATCATAAATAGATAGATATATATATATATCTACCTATACACGCGATCTGACTCTTTACAATTTGAATAGCAGCAAATAAATAAAAATCCCTCGATGTATAAGAATACATTTAAAGGATTGACAATGAGATGTTGAAATAAAAGAGAAGAAGAAGAAGAAGAAGAAGGAGGAGGAGGAGGTTGATCATTGTGGGAGGAAGCAAAGCCAATGTTCAGAGTGAATGTATGTATGTGTGTACTCTGCCGCTCGGAATTTGGTCGTTGTATTGTGTCAACAATTAGGAGAAAAAGAAAAAAAAAAGAAAGAGACACGAACGAAAAGAAGAAGAATCATCATCTGATGATCATATCTCGGTTGCCGACGACATAGTGTATCATTGTCTTTTAAAGCTTGACATTTTTCATAGCAGACACGTTCTTGGGAAGCGTATATATGAATACAATAAAGAAAGAAAGGAAGATGACACAAACACACACACACACACAAACAGAAGAAAAAAAAAATGAAGAGAGAAAGGACTGCGAAAAAAGGTCAGAGATTATGGAAGAAACCTACTATTACAGTAAAGAAAAGGATTATTCCTTCTTATTCTTCTTCAACACGAACATTGTCTATACTATCGAATACGAAAAAAA